GAGTTTCTTCTCCCAGCTCCATCTTGGACTTCTGACTCCCTACACCATCAAAAAGAATGTCTTCTATTCAGTCTCACAGCTCCATAAATGCCCTGGTGGAGGAAGTATTCATGTTCTCACAGTGCCACAACCATCAGGGTCTATAGTTTTCCTGGATTAAGAGACTGTTCCAGGCACAGATATGTAACTGTGATTTACAGAAATTTCCAAATATGGAGAAAATTGATTGTTAATGATTTAGCTCAGGAAGAAACAAAATATGGAGGGAAATCTCTCAAAAGCTATAACTGTCAACAGTTACCATGGAAATAGAATTATGCTCTTGGAACTGAACAGAAGGAGATGCAAAGTGATACCACAGAAGAAAGGCTGGAGTCAGAGACTTTGGGTGTGCACCTCAGTCACGCTATTTCTCAGCACTGAGGTTTCTAATAGGTTAAACCGAGATTTAACCTTAGAATAATAAGACCTATTTTGTCGAGTTATGGTGGAGATAGTTAGACAATGTGAGTGAAAGTTTCTAACACAAGGAAGTTTTCAGAGAGAGAGACAGGGAGACACAGAGAGAGACAGAATTAGTTTTCACGTGACCCTGAAATCAGCAGCTCTAAAAAAAATGGGAATGGTCTCATGTTCTTTTCCTTTTTGTTTTCCTAAGTTTTGTTTCTCTCTGGTGAGTTCTGCTTTAAGTCATTTGATTTTACTATTACACTCTTGGAATCGGGAGACTTACTCTCCCGCCTGGGACACACTGGAAAATTAATTATAACAGTATTATTAATATGGCTATTGATATAATTATTTTAGTAGTGACATTTTGTCTTTTGTAACTGAGCTAAAAAAAATATTAACAACTTCTAAAGCAAGTATTAAGTGAGAAAACAGGCATAGGCTTTTACTTCTTTGGTATAACCTACAGCGTCTGGAGTCTATTTCCTTTTCATCTGAAGTGTCAAAAAGTGATCAGAATATGCAGTAAGAAAAATTTTCAATAAATTATTGTTGACCATACTAGAAAAAATTAAATGCCCGTCCTACATCTAGTATTTTCTAATTCTGTTCTTATTTTCATCCCTGGTATCTGATGACTCTAGTGTTTTTAAGCAACAACACCACCAATGACAACTTTCATTATAGAAAACAGTGAGGGTAAGCCGAGACTAAATTAGAGGAAAACCTGAGGAGATTAGTGCCAAGAGCAGTAATAGAATTATTATAGATACAGAGAATATTTTTCACACAGCTATTAGGCCATTTATAATAACCTTTTCATAGGACATGTATTCTTAGGAAGAGTTTTACTAATTTTTCTTGATTCATAGAAATCATATTTCTTCTCAACCAAACTAAACTCTTCTCTAAACCAACATTCATTCCAGATGCTAACTCTAATAGATCCTCTAATAACTGTGTTATTTCAGCAGTAAAATTAGTATGATTGTTATCATGGTTATGCAACCATGATTAAAAGTGTTTAGCATAGCTCAGAGTTATATAGAAAATGAAAAAAATACATATGGCCGAGTTATATAGAAAATGAAAAACAACAATATACCTGGTTCCCAACTTTCATAGAGGGCTGTGAACTTAATGGCTGTTGGAGATAACTGATCTATTGTGGCAAGACCTTGAGATCCAGAAATTAAGAAGAAGGAGGAGGAGGGGGAGGATAATGTGGAGGAGGAGGAAAAAAGAAAAGAATAAGAAAGAGGAGATGGGAAACTGGGAGGAGAGGGTTAAAAACAGCCAAAAGGGAGAGAAAGAGAAAGAATATACATCTACTTTCTAGCTTAGTTAGATTGTTAGATTTTTTAAGTAACTAACTTCAATAGCAGTAATTATTGGCTTAAAGACAAAGTTTCTCTAACTTGTTGATAAGAAATCTAATTAGTTTGTATGTGCCATTTACTCTGCTATAGGAAAAGAAAGTCTTCGTCAAAGATTGTTGGGGAGAATGTAATATATTTAAAAAATCATGGCTTCTCAGGCTAAGGCGTATGAGACTAATTGGAAATGGTTTCCTATGGACGTGTTGGAAATGAAGGGATTTACCTAATTCTAAAAATGTGTAGCCAAAGTCTCAGGTACCAAGAACCTTCTCATTTGTAACACAAAAAATCTTTTTCTCAAGTAACTTGATGCATACATAGTCTCTCTCCCAGAGTTAATCACAGACTTTGGATCATTTTAGTCCACGCAGAGATTCCCAGATTTTAGTTTCTCATAAGCCATCTTTTTTTTTTTTTTTTTTTGTGAGCAAGATGAGCCCTGAGCTAACATCCATACTAATCCTCCTCTTTTTGCTGAGGAAGACAGGCTCTGAGCTCACATCTATTGCCAATCCTCCTCCTTTTTTTCCCCCAAAGCCCCAATAGATAGTTATGTGTCATAGTTGCACATCCTTCTAGTTGCTGTATGTGGGACGCAGCCTCAGCATGGCTGGAGAAGCGGTGCGTTGGTGCGCGCCCGTGATCCCAACCGGGCCACCAGTAGCAGAGCGTGTAACCGCTAAGACACGGGGCGGCCCAGCCATCTTGTTTTGAATCAGAAACGTAACACAGGTTGTGTATTCTATGGTACTAGATCACGTCTGGCAAAATGAGCTTTCAAACACATTTTAGAATTCAATATTAAAGACCAAACCTCAGGATTCACTGTGGCTGAGGTATACCCCAGCCTTTGAGTACTTTCTTACAGGTTACATAACCTTTGAGTCTCGTGAACAGAGAATATTTCTTCCTGATGCCAATGATGTATCCTTTATGCCTGGAACATTTATTCTTTCACTGATCGTTTACCACCTTCTCCTTGATTAATTTATCAGCTCTTGTACTTAGTTAACTATGTTTGTAGGAGAAAAATTTTCGTCACTTGGTCAAGATTAGTATTTTTTTTTTTCAAACTGTAATCACCAATTTTTAATGGTTATTGACTTACTATTTACCTTCCAGATTGTTTCAACTTTGTGCATTATTCCTCTGCAGTACATTTAAAAAAATGTCCTTAGATCTGTCTTTTAGTGAACTTGATAAAAAAAAAAGTCCAGGCATGATTCTGGCTAAAAAGAACAATATAACTTACATTTGGACACGCAGACTTGGCCCTGTTGACAGTTTTTTTTTTTTTTTAATTTTT